ATTCTATACTTAAAAGTCAAATACACCAAAAAGCCATCCTACACACCCAAAAAGCCATCCTACACACCCAAAAAGCCTTAGTCACAATCCACTTATCTACTCTCAAGAGTATACATAATTTTTCTAAATCTTATGATAGTTTTGTGTGTCCAATAGAAAAATGGTTTTGAGCTGAGAATGATAAAGGAGTTTACATAATTTTATTGAAGGGTAGCTTGATATAATTATCACAGACAACCGGAAAATGCATAATCGAGCTCAGATTTGTACGCGCGTCTTAGCTAGGTGCTTCCTATTCTGTTTTATCAAGTCATTATACTGTCAGAAGTTATTTGCCGTCTTTGTTCAAAACAAAAGAAAAAAAGAGAGTAGAGGTGTATTTTGCTTGTATGAGTTCACTAGATCACTAAGTGGCATCTGAGTGAAATATTCATAACAAGTTATCACATGCATTTACATCTTTCATTTACTTGATGTGATAATGTTTTATGAAATCATCAGAAGAGTTTCATGCAAATTTACATACAAATTTGTGACTATCTTTTCCCCATTCTTGAATTGGGGACGGCAAAATATGTGTGAATAATCAATTGTGATGCTATGATTTTCATGGTAATTACGCTAAAAATTTGAACAAATTTGTAGTCACTAAAAGTTACAAAATCACTTTTTTATCCACCATGATTATAATAGTATATTAGGAAATATTTATAAATTTATATTCATATATTATATTAATTTTATATTAAAGCTAATTATTTCGGTTTTTTTTCGGTCCGAGACGGGTTATAGATTTTAAGGCCCGTTAATGAGTCCGGAATTTCGGGTTCGGTCCGATTTTTTTTGAATTCGGTTCGGTTAAAACGAAAAATTCCGGATCAGGATCATAATTCGGGTCGGTCCAGGATCGATTTCCAGGTTTAGAGTCGGGTTTTCCCACCCCTAGTGACACTTGAATACCTCTGGATCCAGTAGACAGTTGTTCTCTTTGATTTCAATCCCCTTGTCTTCAGGGTATTGAAGACCCAATATGGCGTTGTGGGCACATGCAATATCCACCACCACAAATGTCATCCGGACTGCCGCTCGGTGAGTTTCATCACCAATTTCCACCAGAAGCTGGATGGTGCCCTCAGCCTCTATTACATTGCCGGTGAAGCTAGCCAGCGGCGTCTTCAGCTTGGTCAGCTGGTCCTTCTTCAGCTTCATCTTCTCCAACGTGCGTAAATACAGCACGTTCACACTACTCCCCGTGTCCACCAGAACTCGGTGGATCAAGGCGTTGTCTATACACATACTCACCACTAGCTCGTCCCTGTGTGGACTTGGTGAGTTGGGTAGGTCAGCCACCCCGAACGTAATGGGCTCCATGCGGCCCTTCTTTGTGGGTGGTGCTGCTACAGTGGCGACATAGAGGCTGCGCTCAAATTTTTTACGGTCGGCGGCCGTATCCCCGGTCTCTCCTCCACCAAAGATGACTTTCACCTCCAATCGTGGCTTTTTTCCCGGATTCCCGGACCCCTCAGCCTCCTCTATAGGGGGGAGGTATGAATCATTACTGGGTTCTGCATCCCGCTGGACATCCCGCTTCCAACTATTGGATCGGGGAGGGCGCTGGTTGGGGGAAGGGCTGTTCAGGTTGGTGCTGACATACTTCCTCAGGTAGCCCTTTTGGATCAGGTCCTCAATTGCCACATGTAGGGCGTGACAATCCTTTGTGAAGTGTCCATTCCGTTGGTGGTATCTACAGTAGGCATTCGGGGTAGGTCCCATCACGGGCCTTGTGTCAGTAGGGGGAGGAATAGCATTGTGTTCCAAATGAAAAACATCGGCTATAGACATGACCAGGGGGGTGAAGCGCGCAGTCCTTCGATGAGGTGCTGCCGCTGCCGGTGCGGGTCCCAAACGTTCTGCCAGCCTTGAAGTGGGAGGCTGTGGGGCCGTTCGGTCCCTTATCTTGATCTCCTCCTCCAGGGCCGCATGACCCCTGGCCCTTTCCAGGATGTCTGGGTAGCTGGTTCCCGGATTTCTCTTCAGCTCCCTGTATAAATCCCCCGTCTGAAGGGCATCAGTAAAAAGAAGGATGGCAGTCTCATCCGTCATGTCGGTCACCTTCAGGGTTTCGGTCCTCCACCTGGTCAGGAACCCGGAAATTGATTCCTTAGGTCCTTGCCTCACACTGGTTAGATACCCGAAATGTAGTTTCTGGGTTGTGTTAGAGGCGAACTGGGCTAAGAATAAGGTGGATAGCTCCGCAAAGCTTCCGATCGACCCGGGCTGTAATGTTCCGAACCATTCCTGGGCTGGCCCCTGAAGGGTGCTGAAGAACAGCCTGCATATTGCTGCGTCGGTGGCCCCTAATAGCATGAGGCCACCCTGGTAACTCCTCAGGTGTACGTGGGGATCTCCCACCCCATCGTATGTTAAGCCGGTCGAGGGACGGCAGTCCCTCAGGATTTCGGCATTCATGATTTCCCTGGTAAAGGGAGATGTAATCCCAACCCGTGCTGGCGGGGTTTGTTGGGGCGTCCGATTGACCTGCTCTCTGAGCTCGGTCATCTGTCTTCTCATTTTGGCCATTTCGTCGTCTTGGGCCGTTCGGGGAATATGTGGTATCCTAGCATCCACATATTCCGGTATTCTGTTTTGGGGAGGGGCAGCTGTGTTAGCTCTCCTCCGGATGAAGCGTTCCCCATCCCTCTGGATATACTGGAAGTGTTGTCCAACGGGGTCTACCACGGGGGTAGGATCCCTATATCCGTTCTGAGGTGCGGACGGGGTTCGGCTGGTTGGGGCTGGTTGTGCATGCCCGTAAGGGTGGGCTCTCCTGCGGTTTCCTCGATGCTCCTGGGAATGTGCTGAGGCCATGGTGGTCTCCGTGTCTTCTCTTTCGTCAAAGGACGACATAGGATGAATGGGGGATAGGGGCTCATGAGTCTCGTCGGTGTATCCCTGTTCCTGTTCATCCGCCATGCGTTGCATGGCCTCTGCCATCTCCCTCATCAACTGAGGGTTCATCCTTACGTCCCGAGGGATGATCTGCTCGAACTCTCGGGTGGCACTGCCACTGGCGTGTCCTTGCATGGACCACCCTTCAGAGGATCTATTGCCTCCTCGGCCCCTGGATGTAGAACTCGGTGTCGCGGTATTAAGCCTAGCCATTTCAAGAAAAATGGTGCTTAGATCAGCGGTTTCCCTTGGACTTTTAGTGTCGTTTCCCACAGACGGCGCCAATGTTGATGTTTATTCCCGAAGATCCGAAAGCCCAACACAAGCCTTGGATATTGTAGGGATATTGGGTTGGATTGAAATGTGTATAAAATATAAAACAGTGAGATATTTGTTCAACTCAGGAGCTTACTGGTATTCAATAAAATATGTGATTACACTGGAACTACCCGAACGGTAGATGACTATAAGAATACAAGGATAAGAGATGTAAATCTATTGCTAAGCTCTGAGTATCAAAATGCTAACCCTTTACAATGATCTTAACATGGATATTTATACTAAAATGGGGATGGGTAAGGTGGACACGTGGCCGAATCTGGTAGGCTGTCACCTCTGCCATGTAGGCACTCATGCCCCCACTTGCAGCCGCCATGATCCAGTATTAAATGCGGCCTCCACTTGCTGACCGCCCGTTCGGGCAAGTTGTTCGGTGTGTGGGACCCCGCGATAGGTGTTATCTTGTAATGGAAGTATCCCGAACGCCGATCGGTATCTGGCCCTTGTTACTTTGGCATAATTGTTTCCCAAAATGTTCCAAGTATAAGTTTTATCCCGAATGCCGTTCGGGATAAGGACTGCCTTGGGCCTGCTGCTCCTTCCCGGGCTTGGGCCTAGGGATATTGGGCCTGGACCTAATATCCCAACAACACCAAAAAGCCATCCTACACACCCAAAAAGCCTTAGTCACAATCCACTTATCTACTCTCAAGAGTATAAATAATTTTTCTAAATCTTATGATAGTTTTGTGTGTCCAATAGAAAAATGGTTTTGAGGTGAGAATGATAAAGGAGTTTACATAATTTTATTGAAGGGTAGCTTGATATAATTATCACAGACAACCGGAAAATGCATAATCGAGCTCAGATTTGTACGCGCGTCTTAGCTAGGTGCTTCCTATTCTGTTTTATCAAGTCATTATACTGTCAGAAGTTATTTGCCGTCTTTGTTCAAAACAAAAGAAAAAAAGAGAGTAGAGGTGTATTTTGCTTGTATGAGTTCACTAGATCACTAAGTGGCATCTGAGTGAAATATTCATAACAAGTTATCACATGCATTTACATCTTTCATCTACTTGATGTGATAATGTTTTATGAAATCATCAGAAGAGTTTCATGCAAATTTACATACAAATTTGTGACTATCTTTTCCCCATTCTTGAATTGGGGACGGCAAAATATGTGTGAATAATCAATTGTGATGCTATGATTTTCATGGTAATTACGCTAAAAATTTGAACAAATTTGTAGTCACTAAAAGTTACAAAATCACTTTTTTATCCACCATGATTATAATAGTATATTAGGATATATTTATAAATTTATATTCATATATTATATTAATTTTATATTAAAGCTAATTATTTCGGTTTTTTTCCGGTCCGAGACGGGTTATAGATTTTAAGGCCCGTTAATGAGTCTGGAATTTCGGGTTCGGTCCGATTTTTTTTGAATTCGGTCCGGTTAAAACGAAAAATTCCGGATCAGGATCATAATTCGGGTCGGTCCAGGATCGATTTCCAGGTTTAGATTCGGGTTTTCCCACCCCTAGTGACACTTGAACACCTCTGGATCCAGTAGACAGTTGTTCTCTTTGATTTCAATCCCCTTGTCTTCAGGGTATACTTCTTCATCAAAAATGAAAGCCATTATGCGTGTATTGCAAAACCCGGACGTGTCTATACTGGTCTGGTCCGAACCGATCCATTTCGATCTGGTTCAGGTCTAAAACCGGGTTAATGCACACCCCTGAGTAGGAATATACGGAAAAGCGTATATCTCGTGGGTATCACACGATTGACGACACTGCCTCCTTTGGAAGTAACCCTCACCCAAGCAAACGTTAAAACGCCCCCTTCTAGGGCTTGTGTTATGCCGTGTTCTGGGTCATGAAAATTGATAGCGATTAGAACCATGTCTACCGATTTCTGTTTGGAGCATTCGGAGATCAGCATATTGCCTCTTGATAACTCCAATTTTGAGGCTAAAGAGATTGTGAGTGAGTCTGAAAACGAATCTGTCCGCCAATCGCCTTGCAAAAAACCGAAGGTTGTCGCAGAAAATACTGATGGCGAGTCCGAGTATGATTCGCTTAGCGATCCAGATTCGGAGTCAGATATGCACCCCTATTATGGGGAAATGGAATCAGAAGTAAATAACAGTATAACATATTGTTTCTTCTCCCTTTTAGCTTGTTTAGTTAACAGTCTGTGTTCTTTTTCTCCTCAGTGTTTTAACATTGGTGATGAACCAACAGTAATTTGCAACATGCGGATGTATCCATTCGATTTGCTAGAAGAAAAGAACAGGCGGAGGATGAGGTTTTGGGCCAATTATGCTATATTTATCATGAATGAGCAGGTACTTAATTCTTTAGATAGTTACTGTGTGATTATGATGATGAGCGTTATCATGAAATTTGAGGCCATTGGATTATCTTTTTCCAAATTTCAGATCTTTGTCAATCAGAATCCATATAAGAGCCTCCAACTAAAGGAAGTAGTACGGGTTGTTTCAACTCCAATGCCCTGCTGTGCAATATTCATGACATTCCAAGCTCAAGATAGGAGTGGAGTGGTGTTCGACTATGAAGCTAAAATGCATGACTTCTTGATAAGTTATCAATTGCAGGTTGAGTTTTGCAGAGAAGTGGGATCCAACAAAAAAGGTATTCAATTATGTTTTACTAGTATAGAATTTTTTGTTCAGCTCATTTTTAATAGTTATGTGTCTTGTTTAGTCGTTAGCAGACACTAGATTTGCGTTTACAACAAGGACTGGGTATACTAGGATTTGATTCATAAAAATTATGAACACCTCCTTTTCCCCTTCCAATTGACTTGAGGCCAACCACTTAATTTATAATCAAAGTGAAGGTTTTTGATACGGAGCAGCAGATCGCTCCTGAGGAGCCAGCGATCGAGGAAGATCAGGGCCTTAGGCCCTGGATTGTTTACCGGAGGCGTGGACGGGATGGGCCCACATCCGTGGGCTGGGGGCGGCCAGCGTAGTAGCTGAATTATTATGGTCTTAATTAAATTAGTTATTAATTTTTAATATGTTTCCTAAATTGAGTTTATTTCCTAGTATGAGTTGTTTATGAGTTTTACCTTAATTAGGACATGTAGTCTATTTATACCCCTTAAGAGGGTTGTTCAAACTATGCTTTTTCAATAAGAATTTGTGTGTTTAAGCTGTACGCTTTAGGCAACGGTTGCTACCGTTGATTGTTATTTTCTGTCTTTATCAATTTGGTCCGACCTGCCGGATCCCGTCCCGCCACAATGACAAGATCTCAAAGTGAACGTTTGCAAGAATTGGAAACTGAACAAAGTCGCATAGGAGAGGAGGTCGCCCGCTTGGGGGGCCGAACAGATCCGGACGAACCAGACTCTCGCCGATCATGGTACGAATCTAGAAACGATGAACCTAACACTCGGAGAACACGGGGCGAAACTGGAGGAGATCGCGTCCTCTCTGGCCGCGATAACAAAGGCGTTAATTCCACCTAAATCACCGACCGGCGACGAGGTGGGTGCCCACATCAGCACGCTGATCGTGCCGCATAGCGACGGGGAAGGTCGCACTTCCACTCCGACGCCACTTCCCACGTTTGATGGTGGGGACCCGATCGGTTGGTTAGCCCGGGTGGAGCAGCAGTTTGAGTTACAGGCAACCCTATCGGAAAAAAAGGTGGCTGCCGCTATGGTGGCCATGGAAGGAGGAGCACTTTACTGGGTGACGTGGCTGAGATCACGCAAACCCAATCTGTGCTGGGACGACTTCAAACAAGCCCTAGTGACTAGATTTGATTCCCGATACCAAGGAAACCGATTTGAACGTCTTTCTGGAGTCAAACAAGACGGAACAGTGGAAGATTACAATATTCTTTTTGTCCAATTAGCCAGCCAAGTTCCAGGATTGACCGACGATCACTACATGGGGTACTATATGAACGGGCTTAAGGAAGAAATAAAGTGCTCACTGCGTTTACTTCGTCCAGATTGTCTAGAAACTGCTATGGAATTGGCCCACGGAGTGGAACATAAGCTATTAATTCAGAATGGTGGAAAAGGGGGAGCGAATCAATATTCTTCCGGCTCACGCCCCAGTATTTACCCAAGGTCAAACCCGGGGTTTTTCCCGAGTACGGGCAGCAGCAGCAGCTCGCGTAATCCCAGTGGCAGCATACCAAGGATCACGGGTCAGCCGATGGGACCCACATCACGCGCAGCCGCAGCAGTTACCGGTTCTTCCGGGCAAACCACGGAACGTTCCCGATTTACCCGTCTGCCCACAAAGGTACTAGACGAATTGCGCGCCAAGGGATTATGTTTTAAATGCCGGAAGCCATTCACTCCGGGTCACGATTGCCCTTTTAAACAATTAAGGGTAATGCTTGCAGAGGAGGACGAAGAATTTGATTTTCAGCAGCACGACTATTGCGAAATAACGGGGAAGGAATAGCTGCCACTTTACGAAGAACCCCCTGATGGCGAAAACAGTGACTTTCCGGTGTATGCCATGGCTGGAATCTTTAGTCCCCAGACAATGAGGCTTCGCGGGATCATCAAAGGGTGCTCCGTCACAGTGCTAATCAATAGTGGGGCTAGCCATAATTTTGTATCGTCCTCATTAGTTTCTTTACTGCACCTCACACCGGACAAGACTGGTAAATTTGGAGTGCAATTGGGAGACGGGCACAGGCAAGAATCCGAAGGAGTATGCCGTCAGCTGCCCATAAGCTTGCCGGGATGTGCTATCAAAACAGATTGTTTCGTATTTCCATTAGCTGGAGTGGACCTCATACTAGGGGTTGCGTGGTTAGCAACGCTAGGGGAAGTGCGAACAAACTGGAACAAGTTAACCATGCAGTTCAAGGTTAACGGCAAGCAAGTCGATTTAAAAGGGGATCCTTCCATGTGTAAGAATGCAGTGAGCTTACGTTCTCTTCTTAAAACAACCGATAAGGAGTTTGGTGCAGTGGTCCTCATCCGCGAAGCTAGCAAAATGGTGGGTGCTACGGCAGATACATTGGAGGATATTCTGGGAACATACGCAGAAATATTTAGCGACCTACAAGGGCTGCCACCGCAACGCTCAAGAGACCACCGGATCGAGTTAGTTCCCGGGGCGAAACCAGTTTCGGTTCGGCCGTACAGATACGGACATTTACAAAAGGATGAGATCGAGAGATTAGTTGATGAGATGCTTCAGGCTGGCATCATTCAGCCCAGTACCAGTCCATTCTCCAGTCCGGTATTGTTAGTAAAAAAGAAAGATGGCAGCTGGCGCTTTTGTGTGGATTACAGGGAACTAAATAAGTCGACTATACCAGATAAATACCCCATTCCGATGATTCAAGATATGTTGGATGAGCTGGCAGGAGCTGTGGTTTTTTCTAAAATTGATTTGCGCTCCGGGTATCACCAGATCAGGGTGGCTAAAACTGATGTGCATAAGACCGCTTTTCGGACTCACACCGGACACTATGAATTTCGAGTGATGCCATTCGGGTTAACTAACGCGCCGGCTACTTTCCAACAGTGTTGTCAATCCCGGATAGCGAAGCGTAGCGGCCAGCCCTGAAAACGCTATAGCGGTATAGCGGATAGCGGGATGACCGCTATTCAGACTACTTTCAAGTATAATACATAATTAACTACAAGCATATAATTACATGACATACACATTAGTAAATTATGATATATGTCATTCAAAGTTGCAAACATCTTAACATTCTTAAATCCTAAATTACTGGGAAATAGTCCTTAATTTCATGAGCAAAACATACAATGCTATTAATGATTAAAATATCTTTAATATTGAATAAAAAATGAGTTCCTGGGTTAAGTCTTGATAAATTAATGGTCTATAAGTCTACCACTCGAAATAAACAAAGAGGAGTGTAGCATGTATCCTTCTTGTACAAGATGAAGGAGCAGAACCCGTTCTTGAAAAAATGAAGGAGTGAAGGTCGTTCTAGAAAAGATGGAGCAGAAATTTTGTTGAAGCAGGGGTCATCGCAGAGCAGACAGAAAGTTTCTTGTGCGTTTTTACACTTTTCGTACGTGTACAAGGGTTTTAAGTTGCTTATTACGGAGTATTTAGTTTAAAAAGTCTACTTTAACCCTGTCCATCTGCAGTAAAAAAACAAAAACGCAGAAGAAAACCCTACAGACCTCCGATCTAAAAAAGTGCCGCTATAGCGCCCGCCTCTCTACCGCTATAGCGCCCGCTATCTCCGCAACTCCCAAACGCCACACTACAGGATGTCTAGTAGCGCCAGACCTCTCCTCCGCTCCGCTCCACCGCTATAGCGCCGCTATAGCGCGCGATTGACATAACTGCTTTCCAAGCGATCATGAATGATTTGTTCCAGCCCTATTTGAGAAAATTCGTGCTGGTATTTTTCGATGACATTTTGGTATACAGCAAAACATGGGTCGAACACCGGGAGCAGTTGGATCACGTGTTAAGTATCTTGAAGGCGCACCAGTTCAGAGCCAATAGGAAGAAGTGTAGTTTCGGCCAGCCACGTGTGGAGTATTTGGGACACATCATATCTCAGGCAGGGGTGGCTATGGATCCTGCCAAAGTTAGTGCGGTGGTAGAGTGGCCTCGGCCGAAGTCTGTACGGGAAATTCGGGGGTTTCTGGGGTTGACTGGTTATTACCAAAGGTTCGTAAGAGAGTATGGGTTAATTGCACGTCCACTTACAAACCTTTTAAAAAAGGAGGCCTTGCACCGATTTCAATGGACGGAAGAGGCCGAGAGAGCCTTCCGCCAACTTCAGAAGGCCTTGACCGAGGCACCAGTGCTTGCCATGCCCCAGTTTGACCGCCAATTTGTGGTGGAATGTGATGCATCAGGTATCGGTGTTGGGGCGGTACTTATGCAAGAACGGAGGCCTATTGCTTATTTTAGTAAATCATTGGCTGATAGAACACTGTCTAAATCAGCCTAAAGCATCTACTCACCCAACGAATTGCAACGCCTTCCCAGCAGGTTTGGGTTGCCAAGCTGCTTGGCTATGACTTTGACATCGAGTACAAAACGGGAATTTCAAATGCGGCTGCGGATGCTTTGTCTAGAAGAGGCGAAGAGGCAGAATTGACAGCAATTAGCATACCAGAATGGATAGGATTGGCTGACATAGAGGAGGAGCAACGGAATGATACCAACTTGCGGGACATTATACAGGCAGTGGAGGCCGATCCGAATAGTATGCCGGGCTATGAACTAAAAGGACGAAGGCTGATCTTCGAAGGACGGTTGGTGCTGGCTTCGGACTCAAAATGGATTCCTCTCCTTTTAAAAGAATTCCATGACACGCCGACGGGAGGCCACGCAGGAGCTTATCGGACCTACCGAAGACTGGCCATGAATGTAACATGGAGAGGAATGTTCCGTAGGGTGCGAGCTTATGTCGCTCAATGTTTGGTCTGTCAAAAGGTAAAATACGAGGCCGCATCACCAGCAGGACTGCTGCAGCCCCTGCCGATTCCCAACCTGGTTTGGGAAGATATATCCATGGACTTCATCACTTGTTTACCAAAATCAAAAGGACACACATCTATTCTGGTGGTGGTAGACCGTCTATCCAAATATGGGCATTTCATTGCACTCAAGGCCCCTATCACAGCACGTTCGGTGGCAGAAACATTC